CCCTTCGTTAGCCGAAGGAGCCACTTGGGCCGGTGAGTTTGCCCAAGAAACTTGTTCTGCCCTATCAATTTTTAAATAGGTTATACTTACATGTAAAGGGAACATCACTGTGCAGCCTGCCAATTGACATGGAACCTTTCTTCTACAATCTTCCCAGCTGGTCAGTGTGCCCACAAGTGCGGACCAAACTCCAAGGCATTGGCCTATACACATACAGCACAGCAATGAAGTAATAAAATAAACTAGGATCACACTAATCCAGCACGTTATTATTCTGAGTTGCCCCACTCAAGCGGCGGCCATATTGAGTTGGGCACGTGAGATCAATACCATGCTGGATTAGTGTGATCCTAGTTCATTTTATTACTTCATTGCTGTGCTGTATGTGTATAGGCCAATGTAGTTGGATCTGTATGTGCGTTATAATCGAAATTAATCGATTAAAAAAAATGTCTATTAATCGAACACGAAAATTTTAATCATTACCAGCCCTATTAGAAATAAAGGGAATGAAAAAAAAAAAATTCAGGAAAATGATAGTAAAGGAGAAGAATGAGTTAATTAGTACTGATTAGGGTAAACATGGGTTAATAAGGGGTTAAATAGTAACTTTTTTTAAAACTTGTAAGGCTGCCATAACTGACATATCAATTTTATCCCTTTAACCCTTTCGCTGCCAAGCCCTCGAACATTTTTCAAATCAGCTGGCCAAGCCATTTTTGAATTTTCTGCAATTTTTTCCTATTGATTTGATTTAACTGCTGCGTTGCTAGCGTTTGTAAAAGACCCCCCAAACCATATATTTTCTGAAAGCGCAGGCCCGGTAGAATAAAAAGATGGTGATACTAAATTTGTAGGCCCTGCGATAATTGCGCAAATGTTTCTCAAATTAATATTAAACCGATAAAAATACACAATTCAATTGTTAAAACACACCAAAATCAGTATCCGTGCACAAAAAAAAATATTTTCTGACTTAATCTAAAAGATAAAACTGTATTGAGTTAATAAATAATATTTGCAAATTTGAAATTGCGCCTTTTTGCGAAAAGGTAAAAAAATTACGGTACGCAAAACTGTAAATAAGCAACTTATGTTAAAAAATTGTTTTCA